GAGGTGGGTGCTGGGGTAAGGGCAGGCGTTGGGATGGCAGAGGTGGGTACTGGGGTAGGAGCAGGCGTTGGGATGGCAGAGGTGGTTACTGGGGTAGGAGCAGGCGTTGGCGTGGCAGAGGTGGGTGCTGGGGTAGGAGCAGGCGTTGGCGTGTCAGTAGAGGCAGGAGTAGTGGCTGGTGTAAGGGCTGGAGTTTTCGCTGGTTTAAAGCATGCAGAAGGACGCGCAGGGAAAGGGACCGAAGTTGAAGGATCCGCTGGTGGCTGTGGCGTTGCTGGGGTAGGAGCAGGCGTTGGCGTGGCATAGGTGGGTGCTGGGGTAGGGGCAGGCGTTGGCGTGTCAGTAGAGGCAGGAGTAGTGGCTGGTGTAAGGGCTGGAGTTTTCGCTGGTTTAAAGCATGCAGAAGGACGCGCAGGGAAAGGGACCGAAGTTGAAGGATCCGCTGGTGGCTGTGGCGTTGCTGGGGTAGGAGCAGGCGTTGGCGTGGCATAGGTGGGTGCTGGGGTAGGAGCAGGCGTTGGCGTGTCAGTAGAGGCAGGAGTAGTGGCTGGTGTAAGGGCTGGAGTATACGCTGGTGTAATGCATGCTGAAGAACGCACAGGGAAAGGGACCGAAGTTGAAGGGGTCGCTGGTGGATTTGGCGTTGGGGCTGGTTTCGCGAGGGTTTGGACTGCCGCCAAAGCCGAAAGTGCCACAACGATGCAGGTGCGTGTGGAAAGAACCATGGCTCGTTGGCAATGGTAAAATGATTTTGGGAATTTGGACGACCGACCGAGTCCTAAGTGGGTGTGCTCACACTGTCTGTCATATGTGTTGTCCTTTCCTGTTTTGGTTGTCTCAAAGCTTGTCCCAAGTAGAATTCGAAAATCGTGCCCAGAAAATGCAAAGTGATTGGCCAATACATAGGCAGGCTTTCACTTCTCTTGGGCAAGGTCCAAGCCGTGGTCCGTTGTTGCGCTTAACAGCCAACGGGGTCGACCGTCAGATCATTAGTCACTACTTCTTCAGCATCGCCAGTCGCCCACGGCGGGAAGGGGTGAGGTTGTGTAATTTATTCTGGACATACAAATTTTCATATATGGATTTTCACCGAATCAACACCTTAAACAATTAGCTGTAAAGTGAAATTAATTTTCAAGGGTAGGAACAATTGAGAGGAAGAGAACTTCAAATATTGTATACAAATGGACAGGTAATATATTGAGTTGTCCTAATTTTGTTCAGACGTTTCAGCTTCATCACAGCAGTCAATGTCTTCATCTGGATGAATGGTGTCTTCGATGGCCATGTTGGTCAACAGGTCACCAAGTGTGTCATCATCCAAAACAGGGACATCTCCAGGTACTCGCTAAAATTATCGCATTTTAAGTGGTTAATTTTTTAAAATAAATATGCGATGGATTAAAAATTAAAGAGATTTTTGTTTTACGTGGATTTGCCACCAGCCAATAATTGATCCTACGCTCTCAGCACATCTCTGAGGTTGACGAGCGCCGACATGATACACAGATAACCACAGTGCGGGAGTGCAGTCACCAGCTCATATGTGTCCCGTGACTGTCCAGAATAATATACGCTACACGGTAGTTTGGCGCGGCAATAGGTTGTCGAAAATGGAATGAAATGGTACGCACCCATTTTGAAAAGGGGATTAAAAGAACATGCTCTTATGGTTGTAACCTGCCAAAATCGGACTCGAAAGCGGAAAAACGCGAAGGAAAAACAGAAAATCGGGCTACCCACTGAATATGTGTGTGTCGTTTGGTGGTAATTCTGAGACAACCAGATACAGTGGTATTTGGGATGAACGGACACAATTTGGTGAGTAAAACAGAACATTAAGGAAATGATGGTGGGAATGTCTCGACGAGACACTTCAAGCGTCAAAGTGAGTTCAGAGCAACCCTGCGATGTGACAAAAACGTGAGTCATCCATACAATTTATTCGACATAACTATCCACAATTTCATTTTTGGCACAAAATTCAAATTATTTGAACAATTATTTTACTCAAAACCTATACGAGTACGTCACTGTCAAAACTGTGGGGCTTGCGATGGGAAGCACGACAAGGACATGCGAAGTGGCTTGTCGAATCCATGAAGCCCAAGTGATAACGAACATGGAGTGCAATGATCATTAAAGGAGGTGATATGGACATGCAAAAGACTGGCGCTCTACCAACAGAGCTAATGTGACACCCATGCGACACAAAAAGTATCATTCGCCGATAGCTCAAGCGGTAGAGAATTGGGCTTAACGTTACAACCAAAATGTCCCGAGTTCAATTCCGGTTGTTTATATATTTTACAAATGCGAGTTTAGGACGGAAGACATGACATGAAATTAAAATACGAAGTGAAATTCAAAATCACCTTCGTCCCCCCTGAAAGCAAAGTTCTACACTCTGATAGGACTAGTAGACGAAAGAGCGCGAAACAGGCTTCAAAATCATGTAGAGGCAAATGCTGACCACGAGATAGCGAGACTGCGCAGGCTCGGATTTATTACGTACTACTTTGGTCCCAATCCAATCTACGGCGAAGCCAAGCTTCGCCGTCGTTTTCGAATGGCCAGACCGCTGTTTGAACGAATCATGGACGGTGTGGTGATGCGTGATGAGTACTATCCTTGGACGCATCTTGAGAGATGTTGATCCATGAACGGACAAGCTGGCAGTCTTCGTCGGTCGTGAAGTTGGAGCCACGGACTGATTGTTACTACACAACGCATATGATTGGACAAAATCATCCATTGATAGCATGCTATTGGCTAATTCGTCAAAACTGTATTTTACAGTCGCGACTGTAAATCTGGCCAATTTGCCGTCTCGCGGTAAAATTGTGATTGCGGCGGGATACTGGTTTGGGGTGTCATATAGGGTACCCAGTTACAAGGCAATACATTGAAGCTTTCACTGGCGACAGAAGCGGACCGGGACGAGTCACGTTTGGCGGTACATGGCGTCAACTCAGTTCGTTGGAGTCGTTGGGTGGTGTGTGTGCTTCAGTGGTAAACGTAGTCTCACCGCAGGGCGTCCGTCACTGAGAATGAAGCCACAGAACACGAATCCGAGACGATTAGCGGATCGGCAGAAGCTCACGTTGTCGATGGCGTTTGTAGCGTTCGTTAGAGTTGTGTCGGTTGTGTTTGCCCTGCGGTGATTCCCACCGAAGAGCACGCACCACCAACACTACTCCAACGATCGCTGCAAACACCGTCAACCCGGTATAATGACATGCGCCGTACTGTATTCTGTGGCGTTTGAGGGGCGGCGAGTGTCTTTCGGCTGCCTCTGGTGTCTGCGACGAGAAATGGTATTACGTTATACTGCGGCGTCGCCCTCTGTGACGAATGTAGCGTGGTAAGTCACCATCGGCTGCGCTTTTGATGGTTCTAGCGTCTGTATTAAGTTATACTAAATCCGTATTCGTCGTCCATTGCTTGCCATGGTCGATTGTGCAGGTTCCTTTTTCGTCGATGCTGCAGGTACCAACAGAGGTCGATTGCATGGGTTCATGGCGTGGGGGTCGACGGCATCTGGCTTGCAGCAACGCTTCATAGGACACGGCCTGAGACTGTTTGCATGTGAGATGCGGCAGTCGATAGCGTAGGTATACCGTGTCCTGGAGCGATTCATGACATCTACCGCGGATGGTCCCGTCCATAACGATAATATTTTGTTTGGCTGTGGCACTTTGTGTGGTTGTTATGGATCAGGAGGTTCAGAGGGGACACGTTTACTTTAACGGTGGACAAAGTGTGCCCTGTATCGACTGCCGCTGCATGCACGTATCGAGGCCGTGCGTGCAGCGGCGTTCGATCCTGGCGCAGGTGGTAGTGCGCTCGGGGTTTCGGGGTTCTGCCAAAGCAAAACCTTTAATATTACATAAATGGTGACTACCTGACTTATTACGCTTGAGGGGTTATTTTTGGGCATTTCTCTCAAAAAAGTACGTAGTATTCCTCACATTTTGCATTTCCCAAAACCATCTATTAATAGTGTGAATCTGCAGAGGTCACGTACAACGCCATCTGTTCGCCCATATGCTGGGTAGTATAAGTACTACCGTCCGATTTTCCGGAAATCCTTCGCGTTTTTCCGCTTTATGGTCTGTTTTTCACGGTTAGCCGTCATAAATACAGTTGTTAACAGTAAACCAGATGTTTCGATCATACATGTACTTCGACGTACGTTCCATGCCTGTCGTTGAGTGAGTGCTCATTTGCTCCATCGTTTTCACCATGGTATGCTCAATTCTCCCACATCTTTGCGAAGTAGAAAAATGTTCTGCAGCGTGCAGAGCAATTGGGTCGTGTGTGTCAGTTTGACCCATTGCAAACATACACACACTCTGGGTCCACAACACGTGGTTCTAGTATGTATCCCGTGGGCGAAAGCCAAGAAGAAGCGGGAGACCATAACCTATTACAGTTTATTCTTCCGTGATTACTCGGTCACGGAACATTTGGTCACCCATTCACAGGCTACGGTATGTTTGGGCGAAACGGCTCCCAAGAAAATGAAGGATGCTACGATAAATATCGATTTATTTAATGATGAATCACTTTGTCATAATGTATACAACTACCGATACACATAATGAATCTAAATGCATACCTAACTGGAAACGCAGTATACTATATGACCAAATGGTCGAACTTACAGTCACTAACTTAATGTTCTGCAGTATTTAAGAGGCCATTTTTTGGTCGTCCATCCGGGGCAGTACAGCGGCCTATGTACCTCCATCTGTTGGTTGAAACAGGCAAGAGTGACGTAATGATTGAAGATTCAAAGAGGACAAGCACATGTTGTTCGGATTCGGTACCTCTTGGAGATAGAGTGAATACAGTACTACAAGAGTACCGCGATGGATAGACAGTGCAGTAGTGTCCTTTTACCCAAAATTTGGACTTTTGTGCTGATTCGCCAAGTTTATCCATGGATTCGTTAGACTGACTTTTGTATGCAATAATGGTTAAGTGTCACACTCATTCACACACTAATTCGATGTTGAATTGGTCGAAGAGTGGATTTGATTGGCTACCTTTTGAGTGTTCTGGGCTTTGATTGGTCGATCGATTGTCTGCAGATTTGGTGTTGCTCATAAGTTTGAATTCACTTGACAATACCAGGTATTAACTAGTACCAGTATTATTATTAATAATAGTACAGTCCTGTGGTAAAACGATATACGAACAACAGAATTCATACTGGACGTGACACAATCGATATAAAGGTTTGCATGGTTGGCCCCGAGCTTAAAGATGGAACTGTGGAGATGCATGTCGACAAGGTGTAGGACTTAGGGATAACTATTTGGGGTGGGGGTTACCCGAGGCTGGCGGTGCATACGGACGGGATGTGAACAGTGGCAGCCTTCTACGGACAGCAGAATGAAATTTGGATGGGACGGAAAGGTTGCAGTGGCTTGCATGGAAGGACAGAGTTAAAAGACATGGGCTCTTGGCCCCACAGTCCACGACTTTCGACTCTGTCCTTCCATGCAGACAGTAAAATATGTAGGTCGGGTTGCTTGTAGTTCTTGTGACTCGGGGCATGATGCATGGTGGGCTATCAGAGGGCAAGAACCATGGGATAGGTTCTTGGTGCCGAATGGCGTAACCCGACATTCGTCGTGGAAGGAGCCCTTGAGGAGTCACGCAACGGATTCTTGATGTGAGTATGAAGCTCATGCGACTTGTCATGGGCTCCTTCCAAGAGCTACACCCGACCTTGATGCACCATTAATGTCGGACCACGCCATCCGGCACGGCCCATCTAGAACGCCTCCTAAGTTCTTCGTACAGGAGGTAACCAAGCGCCATGGCCAACATCTATCAAACCTCGCGAGACCAACCCATGAAGTTTGATAGGTTAGGATGTGATCTGTCTGTAGTCCATGCTAGTAGTTTGGGGTGGGTTTCGTGGGAGTTGGATCGATGATCCGTGTCGTGGAGCTAAGTAGTGTATATACCAAGCATGCGCATGCCACGGATCATCGATCCAACTTCCAAGCAAACGACCCCGAACAACTCTCATGGTCCTGGCCTTCCCCATAACCCGCCAAACGCGTAGGATGGGACCGCTGTGACGCGGGTGGCTGTGGGGCTCGTTGTGGGAATTGTGGTCATGGGGGTATCAATCGAGCCCGGGGCTTCAGTCGTCGCATGTGCGACGTCGTGACTAGGGTCAGCGCGTTGCGCACATTTCACAATGCATGTTGTGTTACTGAGAGCCTTGTGATGCTCGAATCTCTCAGCAACACTACACATACAAGCAAGATGGCTTATTGCGATAGTTGGTGTGCAAGTAAAAGCGTTTGCAGGTTGCGTACACAACGATACCCAGTACATTAATCTAGAATGCTACTACATGTCATGTAGTAGCATCTACATTAATGTATTGTGGATGGATTGGAGTTAGCGATAACGTTATATGTGGATGTAGTTAAAGTGGTGTGTATGTATACAAGCATGCAGTTTTACGGTTTGTTTATGGCTTGCAACATGTATGGGGTGAGACTATGATGAAAGGGCTCAGCGACAGGATATGCAAGTAAGTGCTAAGGGCATCCCCACCGGCGCGACTGTATAATCAGACTATAAAATACCGTTTTACAGTTCCTGTATTTTGATTTTCGTCAACCCCAGCGGCATGGAATAGGATTTCCACACCTACATCGTGAAAGTAGAGGCTACAGGCGCCAGTCACGGCATTTTGAACTGGCTTACAATGTAGATAGCTTATGTTGTAGCGATGGCACACCCTAATGTTACTGTATGTACCACCAATGCGACTGTATCGATCTAAACGATGAGGACTGTGAGCGGTGATGCAACTACTTCTTTTTGCATGTCCAACACACATAGCCTCTAGCACTTCCCTGCAAATGCACGAGATATCGTTGGCTTCAGGTAAAACTGGAATAATTGCGACGCCTGAGTTTGTTTGGGTTTGGACTTTATCGAGTTTGGCTGGGAACGACATGCCTCCGGTCTCCCATCTCCCCGACGACGTCACGAACTACGTGTTTCTGCTGAGACGAGTTGAAGAAGTGCCGTTCAAGGTCGAGTTAAGTGTGGCGGCCCTCGCTGCCTGACCAACTACAGCCACGCAGCCTTTGGCATCCTACCACGACTACAGTACTGCCACGTCCACTGTCCCCCCATCACGACCTCTCGCAGCCCTGTGACCGTGTGCCCCCTTCGCGACCTGCGCCACCCTGTTCACCACGTTGACCTCATCACTACTCGTGTCACTGTTGGCCCCGTCACCACGACCACCAAGGCGCCTACTGGACACCAACGACAAGCTTGAAGGCCTACCCGCTAACGTAAGTACCAATGTACGCCCCTCTCCATCGAGGTCCAAATACTAGTACTAACGTTAGTATGTGGTTAGCGATTCGTTTGTCAACGAAGCCCAAAGCATACTATAATATAGATGGCACAACAATATTTGAGGTGTCCTGCTGCTTGTATATATAATAGGCAAAGTTTTCATCAGACTAGCGTGACGGTTAAGCTTTCAGCTCGTAAGGCAGAGGTTGCGGGTTCAAGCCCCGTTGAGGTACATAGTTTTTACTTCGAACTAGTACACCTTTCCTTCAACGTGCCGTGTCCATTAGATGGGACCGAGCCAAATGACTAACAAGTCGTCTGAATAGTGTGATGGTTAAGCGTCTAGCTATTAGGTTGCGGGTTCGAGCCCTGATTGTGGCATACTTTTTCACTCTTTTTAATTTGAGCATCATACCTTGTTGTGAAAAGCACCCTCCTATTATATCAACTATGGCTCCGTGCATTGAATGAGGTTGTGCATGCTTGGATATTACATTATATCTGCAATTAACGCTGTAGCCGTCAATGATATGTGCGTTAGAAAGCTAAGCAGCCCATTCAAGTACAAGAATTGACTGTGAATGCTGCAGCTTACAAGTAACGTTATTAATACATTGTACAGTGCCTAATGTATCACTAGTTTGATTGGCTAATCGCCATCATTGCATTGCGTCATAGACAGGCCAATTAATCTGACGATTGTCGCACATACGTACGTTCCTTTCAGAATGGTCGAGGAACGCTCTTTGTAATCAGATAGATACATTAACCCATTGTAAGCTGCGGGGCCGATGACCATCGGACTTCCTGGTATTTAAATTCACTCTGCGCCAAGATACTTCGTAGTGTATGGTACTACTGTATGTATTTATAATTCAACGAATCATACGTAGCATTGTTGAAGTTTATAATTGTGTTCATACCGGTAATGCAACTAATCATTGCACTTGACGAGACCTTAACATTACTATTAGACCTCTTGACGTATGATCAAGTCAAGAGCTCTAATAAGAGGTCTGGATGCTTGATCATACCGGTACGTATGATCAAGCCTCCAGTCAGTAGCCAATTACATTCCACGTACACCCATGTGTTCTTGGATGGACTTTCATGACTGGTCAGACATCCGGATACTAATATACGACCGAGTCATTTTGCAGCGATTGATTTTGGGATTGGTCCCTCGATCATCTCGTGTACGGTTAATGATTTATCAATCATACACTATTTTCGGCAATCACTCGATGTTTTCCAAGAACACTACTGCGTACTGGTAGTAGATCTTAGGATGAATTGATGCCTTACTGTTCGTTGACAGACATATATTGTATATAATAGGGGTTGTTTACATTATAACCGATTACTTGGTCATAGATTGAGCAACTGATCAATTGGTGTATGTCTGACTTGAAGTAAGTATGACAACTATCGGTTTTACTTTGGCAATTGGGAAGTAATGGTGTTGCTGATTCTTCACATACGGTACTGTCGATTTACGAGGTCCTCAAATATCTTCCTCAATCTCGAAGCAACAAAGGCAAAAATACGATTAACTGTGAATACATGCGAAGGAGTAATCATAAGGGCACGCACGTATGTGTGCAGTGGGCTTTGCCATTCAGATTGATGTTACCAGTCTTTGCTGAATGTAGCATGCACTTCAGAACAACGCTGCATAATTACCACTAACGTAAAAAACCAATTTAAGATAACTTTTTTGGAGGCGTCGGAGTAGACAGACATATATTGTATATAATAGGGGTTGTTTACATTATAACCGATTACTTGGT